GCTATCGGAAAACGTTCATCATCTTCGGCATGCCGGGCATGTGGCTTTACTATTATTGCTCTGAGCAGTGGTCCTGTTCAGAACGCGACTGGGAGCCCGAGTGTCGATGCCGAACGCGATCCCCATGTTCTGATTACCCACCCGGCGAACTTTGCAGCCGCAGCCACCAGCAGCTCATTCATCGCCAAGTTAAGCATAGCGCTGCTGCCGGCTAAGTTCCAGGGCTGTCCGACTTTCAGAAATGCTGAAGTGGCTCAGTGATTCGCCTGATTAAATAGCGCTCTCTGTGTGGCGAGAGTCGGCGCCGCTCCGCACAAATTTCCTCTGGAGTCCACTGAAACTTCGTTGCCACTTCGACGTCTGCAGGGCGCTAGTTGCGAGCCCCACGGCAGACATCAGCTGACAATGAGGTCATGCCACGACCGCGCTCACCTTAGAGTCATCAAGTCACGCGCTGCGCGCCAGCTCTCTCGCCTTGCGGCAACTTTTCGGATATATTACCCAGAAACCGTCGTTGTTGGAAAGTACAGTAGCAGTTCCTCATGGTGCATATGCGTCTAGTGTCACTTCCTCCTTCTAGCCTTAGGAAAGACACTTCTGCACAAAAGCGTAGGCAAGCCAGACAAAATGTAGGGCCCAAGACATCAGTGTGGCAACGTCTCTGATATTGGGGCAACAAAGCAGGATGAGGGGAATGTTATCTGGGATCTTGGTGGGACCACCTGACTTCAAAATGTTATTCTACATGAGAAAACATGAAAACTTGCATTGTGCGGCCGAAACCAGAAAAAAATCAAATTTTTGGGTGATTGGGAAACGGGTCTCTGCCTTTCCGTCCTATATTTACACGCATGGTTAAATACCTCGTTCGGGTTTACTTCCAATTCACCTCGATATGGGATGAATGTCAAACTCTCAGAAAAATACTAGGCTAGTGTCCTGGCTTCCACCATCTACACATATAGTATGCAATGGTCCGAGTTTAACCTGGATACATCCTAACAAGATTATAAAAAGGATCAACGCAGTTCGCAGAGCAAAGCTTCACTGTCTGTGCGTGACGCTTCACCAGCGTGATGAGGCAAAAAGTAATGATAAGAGCAAAGATAGGCCGACTCGTGCGTGGAATGAAGAACATGGCTCAACAACGCATAAGTTTTACGAAAAAAGGTAAGCTCCCAGTCTTTCGACAGCCTCTATCCTCAGCTGAAAATTCCCGTCCTTTGGTACATCAAGAGGCGCTGGTTAAAGACATGTAAAGACATCAAGCACGATTGTTCGGATGCGTCACGTGAACGCTCGACGCTTGAAAGCAGTACTCACGGTCAAGAGTGAGCAAAGTTAACCCAATCAGCCTGCCAATAAAAAGGACCAAAAATGATCGATTGCTCAAGCTCCCTTTCCTAACACCCGATGCACCGCACTATGTGAAGGGCTACTCCCGCCACCGAAGGTTAGACTGCGAGACCTTGGTGACCCACACGGCTGGAGGGCTAGAACGCAGCCGGCCACAGAATGACAGTGGTGAGCGCGATGACCAGCGAACTATGTCCAGCCGTGCCGCGCCTTAAGCACGCCGCTCAGGTCATGCCCCTAGATGGCGTTGGTGACGTCAGCCTTGGACGAAAATCAAGGATGTGCAGCTGTTTTTATGTGTTGAGGTCCCGCGAAGACTGATGTTCGGAGCACTGGGCTCCAAACAGCCGGATGGAGCGGACCATAGAGCTGCTCCTCACACCCAAGACAGATCAGACTGTACTGCATCACAAGCGGCACACTCCATGGCTTAAAACAGTTCTGAACGCTCTTCCATAGAGACAATAAAGCGCGCAAATCTTATGTGGAGAGTACGCCCAAATTACTCCACGCCTTTATTTCGAAGCCGGTTGCGTAGAATAAGCAACCACGCACTCGTACGCGTATAAGGAGTACAAAACTACTCCACATTTCCCCAAGTATCGATAGTGTTCGTAATAAACTCATCTGATTTTGATGTGCATTAGATAGTTACTTCGAAAATTAAGCAAAATAAGATATGCTCCACCCCGTCGTAAAAACCGACAGAGGTGATGATGAAGGGACCAGCGCAGCGCCGATAGAGCTGGCACACAACTTACGACCGAGAATCAGCGTGCCGTCGGGAAATGGCTGGCGTGTGAAATGATTATAACATTCAAAGAGCAAACGCCGTGCGAAGGGTGGATATTGAATGCACATGTGAGAAAACAATATAACTACTTTGCACATGATACATTTGTAATCGCAACAAGTATTTGCCAAGAGATATGGTGACTGAGAGACGGCAAACCAGTGAGAAGCTGTGCCTCTTTCCTTACGGAAATACCCAGACCGAATCGATTTGTAATGTCTTGCTATGGCATGATCCGACATTGTATAAATTCACAAAATGGGCAGCCTAGAGTAAGGATGCCCGTTTTAAAATGCTGCAGTCAGTCTTAAAAAGGTGTAGCAAACAAATCTGGATACACTTCAAACCGGTGGATGGCCCGAAGCTGAAGGCTCGTTGTCACTTGGGTTGTTTCAAATGACCCAAACATAATAATTGGCATGTAGTCGATTACGTTTGCTCTTATTACAGCATTTTGGGATTTCAGCTTTGAGATGTCAAGCGGTCAAGTATGTTTTGAGTCCGTTACATCTTCACCTATGGAATATGTCATCCTTTAGTTTTGTTCATGCTACTGTGTGCTTTGTATTTATTGTACTTCGCCTGCTAGCGGGCTGATGCTCTGTTGGTGACAAAAGAAGATAAATAAACAAATAAATAAAAGTGGAGGTAAACTTGCAAGGGACAAGCCCCATTTCGAGAAAAAAACTGCTGGAGACATGTCCTACCCGCCACTGGCTATACTCATACAACCACCCGCCACTTAACAACCTTACGTCGGGTTCATCGGATATGTGTGGTTCCGACGCTCGTGTCGGACGGGCGGGCGGAGGCGCCGTGCGTTTGCTGCCGTCACCGGCTGTGACGAGGCCATGACGGGGCTGCAGCGGTGCAGCCAAAATTCCCTTAAGGAGAAACTCCGTGCGCACACATTACGTCAATGTGTGACTTCCTTTCGAAAGCCATCTATGGCACAAAACGAAACAAAATTTGGGCTGGGGGGGGGGGGCGTCCTCGCCCCTCCCATTTACTACGCCCCTGCGGGTCTGGTTCGCTCTGCGCCCAGTGGCCGCCCGGCTGCTCACCACTGCACCCAGCAAAGTGGGTTCTTAACATCATGGAGACGGCCTTTAACGATTATAAAAAAAAATCGAAGCGCATCACGTGGTTCTCGGCGCGCCGCTTTAAGTGCCACAACGGGCCTGGTGAGCGTAACTCATGGTTGAAGCCGATAATGTTTCCAAGTAGACCAATTAGGAAGTTTAAATGTCCCGTGCGCTTGAAGATCCGGAAAGATTACGATGATTCAGTGACACGGATAACGCCTTTGTCCTCAGGATGTCGCCTGCTTGCACGCACGTGCTTTCGAGGCTGCCAGGGTGCAGTTTCTGACCTGATTCACAAGTGCTGAATAACTGAACTGGATTTCAGAATGTTATTGTTTGAAATGCAGCTAAGCAGATCATCCGAAACTCCTACGTTTTGTGTGGAAGTGAAATCGCGCGCAAAGAAGCACGTGGTAGATAAAGGTCGTTCACTTCCAGGGAAACTGTCATTTAAATTCTTAATACGATTAAAATGACGTCCATAAATCGTAACGATTAACTTAATTACAGTAGCTTATTACCACACACAAATGTGCTTGCGGCCCCGGGCCCGACATCCATAACAAGCCGTCCAATAATTCACAGCAAGGCTGGCTTAGGCTTGACCCGCAATGTCGGTGGTAGTCGGAGGGCCTGCTATACGAGCTGGGCCACAAAAATAATTTAACTACTGTCTCACATAACTGAGTGGGAAGTCCCTCGGGAGACTGCTAGGACGACATTCAGCGTTTTTCGTCTCCAAACAGTGGTGAGAAGACAGGAGCTGTTTGAAATTTTTTGCGCACGGAATAGCTTTTCCTGCACAAAGCGAGCTAGTCCAGCGGGAGGCGGCCCTTCCGCCAGCATAAGGCTTACATTCGCCGAGCACGGCGGCGTATACACCGTTTAGCCACTTTCAGCTAGCTTACGTCATTTCGTCGCTTTAACTAGGTTACGCCCTTGAGCAAGCAATACACGCCAGTGATGACGGATGCCCCACCTGCCCTCAGGCCACCTGCGTTTAGCTGTATAAAAATGTGTCTTAACTCGACGGCAACGCAGCTGACAGGCGTGAAGTGTTGGGGCGATGCAGCTGACGGGCGTGGAATACTGGGGCGATGCAGCTGACGGGCGTAGAGTGTTGGGGCATGCAGCCAGCAGACTGCACACCCATGTGGTCTGCCTAATTTTACAGCAAATTCGCGCTTCTATGCTGTCAGTTGCACGTCCACATTTATTCCACTTTCAACGATCGAAAATGGACGGTAAGATACCCTAGAAGGTGCACTCAGGTATTTCGCTTTCGTCGCACGTCTGACCAGTGGACCGAGAGTAACTTTCTGATTGAGGGAAAGTTATCGCATGGGTAGCTGCGCTCGACGCTACAACTCTGCTCAAACAAGAGGACATGGGGACTGAAAGCCAGATGGCAGAACTGACTCCGAAGAGCCGTGAAGCAGCTGCACGGTCGCAGGGCGGGGACGGGGGGGGGGGGGGGGGACGGGGGTCAGAGAAGCACGGTCCCAGCGCGGGAGGGGTTGGAGCTCCCACATCCGCTGTTTCCCTTGTCGGACCACGGCTGACACCGGACACCAATAAGAGAAGCAGGAGACTGCAACAGTCAAGGACTGGGAAAACCCGAGCAGCGCTAATCATTACGACGCAGTGACAGTAGACGGTGGTAGAACGATGGAATCATTACGACGCAATTGCTGGACTAGGTTTTCCGCAGATGTAGACAGCTTTATTACGCACCTGTCTGACACTACTCCAGCAGGCATCGCGTATCAGCGCTGGGAGGTGCGCTTCACCGCCGCCTTTCTGCGCGGCGCAGTACATGCCCGGTAACAGCGCACGTGGCCCGGTGCGTCCAAGAGACAAAGGTGCTGACGGCTGGCTCGCACGCGGGCGGGCCTTTACTCGGCCGGGCCGTGATAGATGCTGGAAGCCTGATCAGGCTCACCCTTGGGTCGCTCACGGCTCGTGCAATCAAGTGCGCCGGAGCGCGCCTGAAAAAGCTAGAGCGGTGAAGTGATTATGACGGGCAGCAACGACGCGTTCGGCACTGTGTGGGGTTCACCAGCTGGTCGCAGAGCGGCTGTGACCGGTCTTTACGGGTGTGCCTGTGACGTGTTCGTCACTGTATGACTGACGCGCTCGTCACTGTATGACTGTGTTGTGTCGCCACTGTGTGCCTGTGACGTGTTCGTCAATGTAGGACTGATGCGCTCGTTACTGCGTCACTGCGCCGTTTCGCTACTGTATTTTCGTCATGTGCCCGCCACTGTATGACTGTGACATGCCTCTCACTCTGTAACTGACACCATCGTCACTGAGTAACTGTGTCGCACTCGTGCCTCTCGTCTTCCGACTATTTGAGGCACCCGCAGCCAATCGGCGTCCGCTGGAGACAGTTGTGACGCGGGACGCCGACATGGTGACGATAGTGGCGCGGGACGCTAATCCACTCACCGCGAGGCAGCAGGCGCCGGCAGTGCAGAGCTGAGTCAGATTTGCAAGAAGCGCCGACGGCCAGGAGCAGGCGGAGGATGTCATTAATCCCTTTCAGTCGAGCAAGCACGTCTCAGCTCCACGAACAAGGCGTACGCCCATTAGTGCTTTGCGCAGACGTCGTTGATGAAAGCAATGCGAGCGGGTTTTTTTGCTCGAAGCGTTGTTTTTCGAAATGGGTCAGCGTGTACTGCCGTGCTCTTCTGAGGGCTTCTGGGAGGAGTTTCAACATTGGTTCAGTATTTCTTGCATGTCACCACATGCAAATCCAGTACATCTCAGGCAGTATAATAACTCCCCATCCAGCTCAGGTCTGTTCATAAAGTAAGCCATAATCCATGTATTGACCGGCCTGTGAAGACATCCAATGGCTGGCAGTCAGCCTATTTGTCGGCGTAATATGCCACTTTAGTTGGGCCTGGGCATTAACAGATAAGCCAAATTGGATGCGCTACGACATATGTGTAAGTTACGTTGTATCAGGCAAGTTTAATTCACGAGCGTGTGGTGCGCGTGGTAGCTATTCTTTTCCTTGGGAGTTTAAACCCAGGAAGCAGTACTATGCAGTCTACATACGAGAAGAACTACCTCATGCAGTCCTCTTCGTACTACAGGGCGTCTCACTTGAAATCATAATTTCAAAAGTGCAGGTAAGGATGATTGAAATACTCCAAGCACGCTCTATCTGACAAGCATTGCTAACATTTCCGGGCATTTGGATTGGTATTCTTCACAAAGGCAATCACGTGGCATGTGAGCTAGAGATACAGGCCTCCGTCCCCGCACCCAGCGGCTGAAGACGCCATTTGCAATACACTAGCAGGAGTGAATCATTTTGACATTTGGAGAAGTGCGCTTGTGTTCAGGGGCTGTCGTGGAGACATTGCGCTGCACGGCTGAAAACCGCCTGTAAAATCGCAAAATCAAAATGTTCGTATATGTGATATAAAACATATAATAATGTGCTCTGATACGTATCACAGCATTTCAATATCTATATTTCCATTGAAACACCTTGTAGTATTCTGAAAGAGCCGTGGCCAGCGTTTGTTCAGCGCCTTATACTTTACATTTTAGCTTCATCTACTAACAACCGCAAGCACATCGCAATCACGTGCTAATGCATACTTTGTACGGGTATTTATTATTGTAGGTAATTCCCTCGACTGAGGACGCCGTGTCAGTCTCCTGCTGCTCTCGCCACTACCTCTAAGGGACGCCTTTCCCTGACTGCAAGCCCTTGGCCGGTGAGCGGTGAATGAAAGCCCCCAGTCTCGGGACTGTCCACTGCCAAGATAATCTATTTAAATATATGCCACAGGTCTGCCTGATAGCTTGCCGAGCGGAGCCTCGCTGAGTGGGCATGCGGGGCTTGCTAAGAAGCTGATTGGCAGATAACCCCGAGACCTCCGACAGATCGGTGGCAGCACTCACGTCGTGAACCCCATGCGCTGTGGGATATGCGTATGCGCATGCGCTGTGAACTGACGTGATCCGCCGTGCGCGGCTCCAAGTTTGACCTCAAACGTGACAAGCCGCCCCGCAGCGCTGTGCTACCTGTCTACGCTGTCTGATGCTGTCTACGCTACGCTGTCTGATGAGCACGGCTCGTTCAAATTCATCACCACTTACAGGCTAGGGCTGCTGCAATATTATTCCTATTAACATCTGCACTCACATCAAAGTTTTGATGGCAGAGAAATCTCATCAAGCACTGAATGACCGTCGTTTTGTCATGTTTACGCTGTGTCTTCAGTCGCAGGGCTACGGACTAACCACTGCTATGATGAGAGCCCCAGTGTCTGCTATGATGAGGGCCCCAGTGTCTGCTATGGTGAGCGCCCAGTGTCTGCTATGGTGAGCGCCCAGTGTCTGCTATGATGAGGGCCCCAGTGTCTGCTATGATGAGGACCCCAGTGCCTGCCATAATGAGAGCCACAGTGCCTCACGCTCCCCCTCCCCCGTGGGGCCCGCGCTAAGCCAAAACCTGTCAGGATTATGATGGCGGGAAAAGAAGACTTTTGGCGAAAACAGATGCATCAAATGAGTGAGGACAATATTGCACAACTTCCCACGTATTTACCTCAACATAATTTGTCATCACGCTCCGGACCTTTGGTTTCCAGTGCGCTTCTTTGGTAGGCCTGATCCTTTCAACACGTTTGGGCTCACCAAAACGTCTTTATGGTCCTTTCTGTCCTAGAGCGAACGGAAGGTTATAAGGCATAACACTTCGTTTCAGGCAAGCCCTTAAAACATAAGGTTTTCTTCTCCGTCGCTGCCTCGCTCTGCAAGTGGGCCTGACGTAACGACAAAGTAATTTCGATGGCCCAAGCTACGATGGGACTTTCAAAGAGATTGCATCACCGTGCAATGGTCCTCCAAATCAGCCCCACCGCAGCGCGCCAGTAGAACAGCCGCTCTATGGCGTACTTTTCCTGCGAACTCACGGGATTCCCATGATGGAGGCCGGATCTCCACAGAGCTGTGAGGCAACTTCTGTCACGCTGAATTTCGGCAAACCCGACACCCAAAGATATATTGGTTAAAGATCTTGCACCGATCCCACGGCCCTTCTTGTCTAGACAGGCTGAACTCCCGTAGCGTCCCGGGTCAACGTGCAACATGCACGGACGCCGTGAATTTTGCGAATTTCGGGACATTATTATTGGCCTTAGTGGCTGAATCGGTAACGTGCTGAATCCCAAGTTCGTACTGTCGAAGCCATGAACTACAATGTTCATAGCAGTTCCATATGGAATATACTCAATGGCTTGGTAACAGCCACCACATACTTTCAGTGTAATGCAATGCACAGTTTCTCGAGAGTTTCTTGCAAAAGTTCTAGACGAACATTCATTATAGCCATCCACTATTGTAGCGTGCGCTCCACGCCGCCTTCGGTTATGGGTTGCCAAATGCTTAGCATAAACGAAAAATTTAGCATGCATACATATGCACACATACACACCTAGCGTATCTCTAGTTTCATGCTGCAATGTATGCACTTGTCCTCGCGCCACCGGCATTCATCACCCTGCCTTCAGATGCCGGATATATAGATATGACTCCAGTCACATGTCTGCTGCACGTGAGACGCAACCTCAAATCGCAGTGAAAAAAACAAAAATGGCGGATGCCCACCAAAAACCAAAAACCGGCCCACTTCCGGAATCGGTTTATTGTATTAAAGGGAAATACGCTACCACAAGCGCTTAACCTTCCTCTCAATTGACGACTGGCGTGGTTCAGTGACTCCTGGCTCTGTTGCACCGCTCGCTTGAGTGAGTGAGTGAGTGTGACTAAGGCAGTGACTCCCAATATTGGTGCATTAAAATGACGTGTAGCTATTGTCCGCCCGTTGCTCAGCCGGCTACAGCGCCTGCCTCCCAGCTCACCCTAGGCGGGATGGGAAGTTCGAGTCGCTTCACGGTTCACTGCCCCTGTGACCCGCGGCCGGCGGCAGCGGCCGCTCAAGGTCAGATCAGGTAAGAGTTGGACAGAACATGCCGATCATTTTACTTGTCAATTTCGCACCAAATTTCCGGGGCACCGAAATTTCAATATCATCAAATGACATCAACGGAGCTCACGGAACAGGCCCTGTTAAGTGTGAGCTCTGTTGCCGGACATCAATCTAGTGAAAATAAAGAAACGCTGAACACTCAGCCATTACACCTCAGTGGGAACCTGCTCCCTAAATGCACTTATATATATATATATATATATATATATATATATATATATATATATGGCTGGCTCTGTTATTTATAACAAGATTGTCTGGAGGTCGAGTATACCACCAGAGGACAGCTAAAAGTAAATACCATAAAATCTCCACGAGGCCAAATAACAAGCGACAACAGCATTGCATAGGCGCGGAAGCGGTGTTTAGGTATTCCGTTATCAGCGTCGGATGGATCGTACAGGACTTGCAGCCCAGTGCATTTCAAAAACATTCCAAAGGAGGAGACGTTCACGGATGGCTGCTGACGAAGACGCTGAGGACCTGATATTGCAGGAGAAATCTGACCCTCTCGGCGTCAAAATCCCAACATCTCATGAGGACATGTCCAAATGCCAGCGGACTTCCACCCAGAGCTCACGACGGCGGGCGCTCCAGCAGCGGTCGCAAATAACCGAGGCGGTTGACTCTCCTTCACCACCCAATAACTAACTCACATCTTCTATGGCGTGATGTATGTGTGTTTGGTAGCTTTGCTGGTCATGGTGCTTGGAAGCCACTTCTCTACATTACTTCCTCCTATAACGTAAGTGGACGCACATATTTTTTCGATGGAAAATCTTGGTTTGCTCCGTTTGATCCACCCCGCCATTCTGGCAAAAGACAACTGCAATTGTTGCTCGGTAGGGACAGCATTCGAGGTAGAGCACCACAGAGCAAAGTGGACCACAAAAAGAGCGACTCACACCAGAGGCCAGACATTTCTGGGGGTCATTAATCGCAGTCAGGAGCAATGCAGCGCTCAGCACGCTGCCCTGCGAAACACCGGCCTCTTCATAGAAACTGGAGACACGGCCCTGCGCCGACACGAAAACGTCGGTCACTCAGGAAGTTGGTCAGATGCTGACCCGTATGTCCCCTCACGACAAATGTACGGAGTTAAGACAGAACACGATACTTCCATGTCGTTCCGCACACCCGTCTCACGTTGAAGAAGACAACAACGGTATGCTGCTTTTGTGAAAAGCTCGCCTAAGGACTGCGTATAAAAGTCCCAGGTGATATATATATATATATATATATATATATATATATATATCTATATCTATATATATATATATATATATATATATATATATATATAAACCACGGTTGCGACGAAAAGCGCAACGTTCGTTTGTGAACGAACCACTCTTCTCCCGAAACTATATGAGTCATTTGCGGACTTTTTCCAATAGTTTGTATAGGTACGATATAAGCGTTGCTTGATGCGAATCCGACGGGCTATCGTCAGCCTTCCTGGCTTCAAAATGAGAATGAGCATTAACTCCAACCACTGTTCTGAGAAATCATATCTTATTCATGCGTAATTAAACAGCGCAGTGAGCTGCAACATGAAATCCTCGACAAAACTTTGCCAAGAGCAATTCATTGCAAACAGCATCAGCACGAGGTGCTGAGATGAAGAGTTGACTCCAGATTCTCGACCGAGAACGTGTCTTTGGTGGCGTCATCTGAAGATCCGAAATTGCTTTGGACGCGGTCGGCCCTGGCTTTGATGCGCAAAATCTGAGTCCCTCAGTCGACACCAGTCAGGGGAAGCCCAGCCAGACTCATTAGCCAGTTGAGTCGGGCCAGTGCTGGCTGTTGCACCAGGGACTCCCACCAGCCTCGAAGCCCCAGTGGGGGACAGTTCAACGCTAAGGGGGGGGGGTCTCCGTCAAGGCTACCCCGGTGTGACATGGGGCGAATTCACACCTCCCGCACCAGGTGCTTATTGTAGCCGAGGGACCCGTCTTCGTCCTGCCCGTGGGTCGGCGCCGCCGCTCCTGCACACCTGGAGCCGCTGCGCCCAGCCGGGGTATCAAATGGAGACCCTTGGGGGGCAACCGGCATGCAACGCAGGCGTCTAACCGCTGCGCTGCACACCTGGTGCACACCAGGTACAACGCTGCACACTGCTGCGCTGAGGGCGCCACTTTCCACTGATACGCTTTATCACTGGCATGCCTCGCTTCGATGACTCGCTGATATTTTACAGAATACAGTCCTTGCTAAAACAGCATAATGGCACAGTGACACGGCAGTTCGTCCGCCAATCTCCATTCGGATAGGAGGCACGATGCGCATAAATGTCAACACAAGCCAAATAAACCAACCAAGTCATACATACAACTTGAGCTCCTGTTGCTGAGCGTAATACACGGGGCGCTGTTGAACGGGCCTGGTGAACGGGCCTGCGGCTGGGTCACGTGATCAGCGATCGCCAGGGGACTCTGCTCCGTGACCGAGGCCGGCGACCACGTGACGCCTCACAGCTGGCAGCTGGACGCCAGTCTTTACGAACATTTGGTCGCGTGACGCGAGTCCCTGCCTGTACGTCACGGCAGCCGACGGCCAGTCGCACGGCGTCCTGTTCAGGTACGCGTCAGGTCTTACACTGTTCAGGTGCGTGTCAACAGCGGCGGTCAATTCGGCGGTCGATGGTTGACGAGGGACAGAGGCGGTCGATCCGGGGAGGGGCAGGGGGAGGGGGCGGTGAACCGACGGCGTCCCCCCGCTCAGCAGGGTTGTTGACTTTATTCCACCCCTATACCCATTTGCAGAGGAATGGAGTAAGGGTACGGCAGGTGGTGTCCAGGAACCGATGGAAGTCCTAAATTGCGCTGTATAATTAAAAACTGAAGTTGGTTAGAGACGAATGAATGTCAAGGTAAGTATTTCAAAAAAAGAACTGACTTCTTGTATTGCTACTCAACACCGCACTGTATGAAGGGGGCACGGCACGATCTCCACGGTCTCCACGGTCAGGCACGGTCTCCGATCGTACTGACCAGTTGCTGTATCGGCACCGTGGAATGTGCCAGTGACAAACCGTAAAGTTTCTCTTACCAGATGCACATTAACGACGAATACTGAGTCATCGGTATTGCTTATGTTTTTGGCAAGCCCTGGAGCTGGTACTCCCCGCACTAAAGGGTTACCGAAAAATGTTTTTGGGTCCAACATGTACGATGCTAAAGCATACTATTCACATTCATTCCAAACTTGTTTTTTTCTAGGACTTCCCATTACGACGCCAGACCTGCGACCGTTTAGGAAATGGACCGCTGGAGAGCGACATATCCAGGGACCAGAAGTCACACTGCGCCGCACCCAGAAAGACCAGGGTGTATTGTATGGCATCCAGAAGAACCAATGCTCAGCGCATCACATGGGGAGGACACTGGTCCCAGCGGATCGGGCCAGGTACAACAACGCTTCATCGGGCCATGTTTAGGAGAGCCAAAGCCCATCGTGTTATGTTCAGAGGAGTCGGAACTCGTGTGACGTTAAGAACAACGAGGTCAGTGCGCCATGCGCTAGAGGTCACTTCAGGGCGCCACGTCCAGAAGGATCGGGCCCGTCGCGTCTTTTTCAGGAGGGCCGGTCCCTAGCGTCTCCTGTCTGATCCAACGTCGTGTGTCGGAAACAAGTTCCCAACGTCCTGCGTCGGAGACAGCCAGCCCCAAACGTTGATGTCCGAAACAGCCGGCCCCCAGTGAGTTGTGTGCGGAACAGCCGGCACACAGTGTGCTACGTCGAACTCAGGAGCAGCCGGTACGCAGTGAATTGCGCCCAGAACAGCCGGTGCGCAGTGTGTTGTGTCCAGATCAGCCATGACGGAGCGTACCTCGCCATTCCGCTTTTCTTCTCCAATGAACCATGTGCAAATGGCTACCGCGATGCCCGGGTCCGTGCCCACAGAATGCGCCGTTTTGCGGCTACGATTTCACTGGGAGCACTTCAGTGATCCGACCAAGGAGGGGACGTGCACCCCGGAGACCCGGCCGAGAACGGGGCGTGCACCCCCGGGACCCGACCGAGGAGGGGACGTGCACCTCGGAGGTCCGGCCGGGGAGGGGAGGGGGGGGGGACCGGCACCTCGGAGGTCCGACCGGGGGGGGGGGGGGGATCGGCACCTCGGAGGTCCGACCGGGGAGGGGACGTGCCACCACGGAGGTCCGACCGGAAAGGGGGGGAACTGATACCTCGGAGGTCCGACCGGTGGGGGGGGGGGACTGGTACCTCGGAGGTTCGACCGGGGAGGGGACGTGCACCTCGGAGGTCCGACCGGGGGGGGGGGGACCGGCACCCCGGAGGTCCGACCGGGGGGGGGGGGGACCGGCACCTCGGAGGTCCGACCGGGGGGGGGGGACTGGTACCCCGGAGGTCCGATCGGGGAGGGGACGTGCCACCACGCCGACGCTCGTCATCGCCGGTCCAGCTGGTCCAGTGCAGGCTGCCTGCTGTGTGATGGTTCGGCGGCGACAGAGAGCACTACTGCTGGGCAACTGTCCGGCTGGGGCAGACGTGGTGGCCCATCTCCGGCGATGGATCTAATACTGACTCGTGAGATCTCTCAGTGCCGCACATTCGGCTGAGCCGATAATCCCTAACCAATGCGGGAGGTGTGCTCCATTTGTATCCGTTTTCGTGTCATTGGTATCATTTTCCCCACCACGGTGGACAGGTAAGTAGTCACAATTTCCCACCTGTGGATGTGCCGGGAAACAAAACAGACATCAATGCACAACTAAATCTAAAGCTGTGGAATTGAAAGTTATGGGTTGCCAGTGCAGAGTCTTTTGTACACAGTACAAAGACTGCGTATTCACGAAACATTTTGACGGTCCTCTCATAGATCTGCGTTGGAAATAAGCAACTTTAAGCAATTGAACCTTGCCTTTCTTCCGCTTCTTCTGTTGGACAAGCTTCACCATCTCCCAAAACCTCGACTAAAAAATGTCATAAAAATACCCAATCATGTAGCCTGTTTGTCATTGTGCGCCCGTGCTACTTCCTAGACGCAGCCCCACGCTCGCACCAAACGCAAGGCGCGTTTGCAGCCCCCAAGCAGGTCGCGTAACAATCAGCCCCGCCCCCAGTGGAGTCCAAGCCGAGCATCGCAGCCCACGCACCTGTTCGACGACATCTTGGAGTAGAACCAGTTGGTGGCGGTGATGTTGCTGACCTCGCGCTGGTCTGCCGGCACGTCGCTCTTGTTACCGGCGAGGAAGGTGGGCACCTCGCGGAAGTCTTCACGCAGCTTGCGGATCTCGCTGAAGCAGTCGGCGGCCTGCAGGAGGGAGGCGTGGCTGTCCACGCTGAACACCAGCAGGAAGGCCTGCGCATGCGCAATGGAGACCCTGGCGGGCAGACGGTGCCGTTAGTGGTAGAAGTGACAGCAGGAAGGTCTGGGCGTGTGCATTGGAGCGACAGCAGGGAGATCTGCGCGTGCGCAACCGAGCGATAGCAGGGAGATCTGCGCGTGCGCAACTGAGACCCTGATCTACTTCATCAAGTTACGTTGCCTACTTTGGCGCCTAAATGACAATCCTTGACTCAGGTACCTTTGGATCGTTCAGGTCGCACCTCGTCAGTACCGGGAAACTTATTTTCTGGGATAGTTTTTTATTTCTAAATAGGGTGAGGCTGTAATTTTGATTGATCCTCACCCCTCCACCGCCGGGAAGCCGTTTTCTGGACTGGTCCCCCCCCCCCCCCCCGATGTCAGGAGATCTGTTATTTCGGCCGGTCCTCACCTCCTCATGGCCGGAAAGCTGTTGTCACCGCACGTGTCCAGCACGTCCACATCGAGGCGCGTGCTGCCCAGATGGAACGTCCGGGAGTACTGCTCCTCGAAGGTCGGCCGGTACCGCTCGTCAAACTCGTTGTGGAGGAATCGGCGACAGATGGCCGTCTTGCCCACGCGCGGTCCACCCAGCACCAGCAGCCGCACGTGGTGGCCGGGGTCGGAGGTCATGACCTTGCCGCCGCGTACTCAGCGCCTTCAGGGGAGCCGACGGACAAATGTCGCGACCATCTGCCGGCACAGGGTCAATGGATGTGACCTAGCGTTCATCATATCAGGGCAGGGTGACGGCGCGACGCATCACTGTTGTCATACCACTAGTGTCAGGCCGTCAAAGCATGTCACCCATTCTGGCAACGGAAACACGCCAGTTTGGTCAGATAACAGCAGCCACGGAATAATCTGTACTCTACATGTAGATTACATTGTGCAAATATATGCATATATGCACACACACACACACACATACATACATACATACATATATATATATATATATATATATATATATATATACAGATATATATATATATATATATATATATATATATATATATATATATATATATATATAGCTCTTGTAAGCATCACATCTATGCACATGAATACAGCAAGAGTTTTTGTGGCGTCTGCGCCAAGCACACCACTGAATGTTCTCAAAAGGCGCCAATAATTTTCGGTAAAAGGTATTGCCATCACACCTGCCCGTACAATCATGAGCTTGCGTAGAGCCAGTCAGTCGCATTTGCATCAGAAATATGCAACTAACAAATATGCTTGTGAATCTCTGCAAAGCATTTCTAGCGAAAAATTGCGGACTAAATCAAGCCGTTACAAAACAAGTAAATAAAACTTTTTTAAGGCTGTCTCTTTAGCCTTCATACGTAATGCATGGTGAAAAAGACTGATATAATGCATGGAATAGGCTGGAGCCGGGCGCTCAGCGTGCTCTTGAAGGCGGTAAATAGCTCGGCCTCCAGTCGGCGACGTGACGCAGCTCCGCCTCCAGTCGGCGACGTGACGCAGCTCCGCCCTCAGTCGGCGACGTGACGCAGCTCCGCCCTCAGTCGGCGACGTGACGCAGCTCCGCCTCCAGTCGGCGACGTGACGCAGCTCCGCCTCCAGTCGGCGACGTGACGCAGCTCCGCCTCCAGTCGGCGACGTGACGCAGCTCCGCCCTCAGTCGGCGACGTGACGCAGCTCCGCCTCCAGTCGGCGACGTGACGCATATACGTGACGCAGCTCCGCCCTCAGTCGGCGACGTGACGCATAAGCTTATCAAACGCATGGAGATTAAGAGATCAAGGACCAACAGTCTGTGCAGGCAAGCAGCGGAAACACACACAAACTGGCCGCCATCGGCTGCACCTGGCGCCTGCCGCCGACAGGTGATCTGATTCACGACACTTCCTTGTTCTTTCTACTCCCGCGTCGTGGATTGCAGGCTACGCTTCCCGAGCACGATGGACGATATGGCGAGATGCTGGTGTCATATGGACTTTTTAGGATTGGCAGAAAAAATCAATAAATAAACGCGCCAAAAATATGTTTTTAAGCTGGTTTGGAAATAGGAACGAAAATCACATGTGAAGCCACGTTTTTATATGCCTATTCACAGTGTTTCATGGGACTCTTGCTTCTCGATTTTTGTCTATCCTAATCTTTCAACGGACACATAAGCACATTTCAACATACATTGTTTGGGAACGCACACGCACTGTTTGTACAGTACTGCTCCAGTCCACCATGAGCCATACAGCGTATCGTTTTGACCGTTGCCCAATTTAAGCGACTGACTACGCAAACATCATAACCAATTAGCAAGTTCATATACGCCCGAGGCGAAAATACATTCTGCATGGCTTACGCTGAATGTGTTAGCGTGATCAGTAAATACGACGATGACCTAGAGCTCAGCTACTGTCAAATACTACTTTACGGATTTGGCAACCGCTGGCTAGTTGCCAAGTGACAAGTCCGCGGATCTGACAACCGCAGGCTATTTGCCAAGGGACATGTCTGCGGATCTGGCAGACGCAGGCTAGTTACCACGTGGTGTTACACAGGCCCTTCCAGCCTCTAGACCATGGCCCCATTCTTCATGGGAAAATGTTCCCAGATGCCCCGCCCCTTCAGGTAACGACCTATGACGTTCCACAGCCACGTGCTCTACATGCTGGAAAACGCCTCGAGTATCTCCCCAATATGGTGGCTGGAAAAATCAGCTGCTTCCCAACAAACACATTTGGCGCGCAGCAGGTGTGATATTGACCAGTCGGGACAGTCAAATGCAAATACTTCAGGTGGATCTCTCACATCAGCCACCTATACAATAACGACTTAACTTAACGAGAATATTATAGGCAGAGGAATGGCCCCAAGGAGGTCATCGCCCTCGACTCAGAAAGATGCTACCAAACATGACTGCATTCTGGGTAACGTTGCTGTGACGACATCATGGGACTAAGTCATAAAGCACCAACGCTATGGTGGCGTGAAAACGCTGTTCCTCGGGGTTTGGTTTAAACGTAAATGTGTCCAAAAGCCGAATTGTTTTCGACCTAGCACATTCAATTCAACATTTTCAGCTGGGAAACGGCGTTGGTTTGCAACAAAGCCACAAAATTATTGCTAAAATGCGCTTCCAACCTGCCCCCAACAGACAGATGGGGTACCTAGTCACCGATGATTTATCCCGAAGAAGTCTAGCCGGAAGCGCTCAGAACCAGTCTGTGCAAAGGAGTGCAACATGCAACAACAGCATCAACATATGTTGGAAATGAGATACGGCGGGACAGACGGGCTCGCAGCACCCTGGGACGCGCGTTGAGAAACTGGAATGCACATCCTACAGCCTCAGTGGGAGGGTGGAGCGTGGGAGCGTTGTCAGGGCATATGCAGGGGTGGCCTGCCCTTGTGGGTTAAGTGGGTGGTGAACCCTGGGGGCTTAAATACAGCGCGTCCCATTTCAGTTCAAGATAGGATAATTTTCCTGTAAAATGGCCCGATTTATGGCAAGTTTCGCAATTTCTACCAGTCAAAGAGTCGAGGCTCGTATTTTAGCTCCGAAATAGTCTAATAGGGATATTTTACGGTGGTGGGGGTGTTATTCTCTGCGCTCCATTTTTATGTAACCCATCTAATATTATAGATTTGCAAGTTAACTAACACATAGGAAGATCATAGCACAGCAACAGCGAAATTCTTGGCATCGGCCTTTCTCACATTACCGGATTTTCACATTTCATTCCATGTAGGCACTGCAGTGCAAAAATGTATGTGCAATCATTGCCCATCAATCAATGTAACATAACTATTATATGTGATATCTATTTATCTGAATCCGGATTTTCCTTTTTCAAAAACGTTTTACATATAGATATTCACGCGCGGTGGCCTCGACGAATATGGCGCGGGTGCTGGAACTAGAAAACGTGTGTTAGTAGGATTTATTTTTGCGGTCAGATCCGACCATTGATTTGTCTTTAGAAAAATTAAAATGCAATGTTATTTTATATGATTTCATTTTTTCATATTTAAGCTTAAACATCAAAACAAAGGTGTAGAACATGGCTGCCATCCAGTTGAATGGTGAAACCACCGTTTTTAATCATGTGACTAGTATCTACCAAACTTTCGTAGTATCAACCAAAAACTACACCACGAATCACCAAACTTTAGTCCCATGGTGACCCCACGTCTGCGTAGCCTTTTCTAGTAGCCTTGGACCTTGCATTAATTCAAGCGTTGTGCGAGAGTAACCACATACAATCGATCCCGCCACAGACACGAAGTTGAACCGGCACTGGTAACTTAACGCCTTATGCCAGCTTAGATCATCTTACATGTATATCGGGTTCGTCTATATATTTGGTCACGCATGGAAGAGTTTTGGCGCGTGTGGTTGCAAACACGGCTACAGCTATGGGGAAGGGACACCCCACGTCCTCCTCGGGCCCGGATGTCCCGTTTCACCATAGATGACTTCCGACGGAGCGAAGAATACGCACCCTCACCGAGGTCAGGGCCGGCGAGATTAATGATGTTCCGAAAGAAGTGCAAAGCAGAATCCTACTTCGAATTGGTAAGTTTGAGGACTTGCTCGGAGCACGTTTTCGGCGGAAATCGCATGTTGTGACACGTCGCATGAAGACGAATTCTACGTATAGACACATAGACGAACAATATCCATGGAGACATGTGCCACCCTGTTGGCGACAAGTTTGGAATTTCAAAATCTGGGTCAAACTAGAACCTGACAGCATTTTGCAAATATGTTGCTGCCGCACGTGGTGACGCCATCGAGTGGCCAAGAGCAGCGCAGCTACATGAAACCATCGCCGGCTTTGCAGCGTGCGCCGGTTCCCCTAGTGTTGTTAGGGCCATCAACGGATCTTTTATCTTCACAGATGCACCCAGCAAGGAGATAGAAGCTGCTCATTATACGCATAAGCGTCGCCAAGTAGTACATCTACTGACTGCTTGTGATCACCGCGGCGCATTCACTGATGCACTTGCAGGGTTCCTAGGACCCACTCACGATTCTCGTGTTTTTTTGGGGGGGGGGCTGGGAGGAGAAGGCCCTCCTCTGCTGCGACCTCAGGGAGCATCGGCGGAAGCTTCTCCCACCTAACACACACCTCACTGAGGACAGGAGCTTCCCTTTTACCCAGAGATCATCACCCCCTACCGAGACAACGATCACCTCAGCCTCAACCAGCGCCACTTCCACAGCCATACAAAAAAACACGTCAAAATTGAACGTGCTTTCAGCATGCTGAAAAACAAACTGCAGCAGCCAAAACATTTAAAAATGAAAAACATGGGCAATGTGGCTGAGGTTATCATTGCGTCGATCACTACGCCATGCATCAACCATTGCATCGTGCATCATGGGCGTCGTGGGGGGGGGGGGGTGATGTAGTGCCTGCAGAGTCCCACGAGGCGGATCCCGTGGAATGGACCCACGCTGCGGGGGGTGATGCAGTGCCTGCAGAGTCCCACGAGGCGGATCCCGTGGAACGGACCCTGGTGCGCTGTTGCTTTCCAGCATACAGAACCTGCAGGCGCAGTGCTGAGCATCACAAAGCGACAGGACATATCTGCCCACCTCATGACACAGATGATGATGCATGCAGATTGCTCCACTTAAATGTCGTAATGTGAAGATTGAGAAAGATAAGGGAAAATAGTAAAGAAGAGCCAATTCATTAGATTCAAATAAACCACCCACACACTTTGGGAAGCAGACAGTGGAGGACCAGCAGGAGGTGTCTCTGGAAGGATTATGAACTGAAAAGCTTGGAGACACTCCACATCCAGAAAGATTACAATTGTGCAAACAGAATTCTTGGCACTACTTTGGGCAATGTCGAATCTCAGCCACAGGTGTTAACATTTGACATGTAACATTTTAAGAACTAAGTGTTCACTGCCTTTCATAATTGGCCATTTAGGTTACATCATGAGGGCAAAATTTCATTAAAGCGATACTTACATACAACATGATGACATCTATGATATGCATGCATTTTTTACAACTTGCACACCTTATCAAATGCTGCAGACAAAGCCATGGCCATAGCGAATGCTTCTTTTGCAAAGTGTGCATATGTAATGGTCACATTTAGTAGATTCAATGCACTTACGATAAGGACCGGCCATATCTTGATGTGTACGGAACAGATTGCTCAAAATTACGCATATGGCCTTGGTCGTCAATAAAAATGTTCAACAATGACAACAATTGGCAGTTTTTTACGCCTGCCTTGTACTTCCACATGCTTCAATACCATTACCAATTAATCGATGAAATTAACCTCACATCTCTGCTACCTATTAACAAGGTATGCTGAAATGCATACCAGTGCTTAATCTGTTAACATCAATTTCAGGTAATGTCACCATGACATTGTTCAACATCGGAGTTCCAAAACCCCACCATCTCCATGTTGCTCATAATCTGTCAGGTATGCAGCAGGTCGGTGAAGAAGCGACATAGAAAATAAGAGCAACCACATCCATAATACAATGTCCATACAGCCTAACAATCACGCTTATAGGTCACACAACTGCAAATTCGTACAGTGTAGCTAGCATTAACAATAGATTAACCTATGCCAACCCAGGCCGGTGCAGTCTCGTTACTCAAAATATTTCATCGGACCTCAATCAGACCTATGGAAAAAGCCAGCTTGCATTACAGGCATACTTTCACTGACTTAATGCAGAAGAACTTGGGCAAAGGAGTTACCAAACAGTGCATGTAAGTGTACATTTGCGATTCAACCACTAAGTAGGCAATGATGGCTGACACATCAGTGTACCTTCTGCGCCTCGGCCAGGTATACCGTGACCTGCGATCCCTGACATACCATTAAGGGAAGGAAAATTAGTCTGACTAATGCATTCCTCAACCAACAGAAGCTGACTACTCTATGACAATGGCGTAACTTATAAATGGCAGATCTAGCGGGCTTACAGAAACCTTCCATATTCACCCTCCCCGAGTGGCAAATGCGTCATGGGCGTTGCTATGCGTTGCTATGTAAATAACCACAAATTACCGCTCTTAGCCTTTCGGCCAAGTAGGGAATGGGCTTGGGCCGTGACGTCATAGGTAAGTCGGTAGCTACGTCATACATGAACTATGCTTACTCGAAGTAAGAATAGGCTTCCATTTGGTCCTGGGTATTTGTGGCCAACGGTGCTGCCAGGCGAAAGGAATGTATGGGCGCTAGAGACGCTGAAAACAGCCTGCATGCTCACTGGCTGTATCAAACTACCTCCATGTTGGTGGATCGATGTCGCAGGTTCGGACCATTCTTTTCTGTGGCGAGAAGAATTAAGTAGGCCACACCATTGGTGCGCCATTTTTCTCCACAGACTTTGCACATGTTTGCGCATTTCCATCCGTAGTCTTTGCACTGTGGATATCATGAGCTCAATGCGGGGACGGTATGGTGTCAACGTTCAGTTGGTTGAGACGGTCAACCACCTTTGTTATACATCCTGTTTAGTAAATAATGGGGATATCTTGCAGGCATGCATGTTTGTTAAGCCATCTGAAGCGAGCAATAGAAATGAAAAGCACTGCATGCTGGCTAGTGTATCGCTTTACTACTTTACATCTCCAGTCTACATGTGCCGGTGATCTTAATATGTCAAACTGATTCTGTTACAACGCCATGGGCCACCTGTGCCTATATCTCACTATTCTCTTGTTATTTGTTTTCAGGTGCTGTCATCATCGCATGCAAGCATGATTATATTACGGAACATCAGTCATATTCAAGCCCAATGAAGGCAGCTCGTTATCCCAAACGCCCCTGAATGGTCTCCATAACAGCCGACGCCACGTGTTCCCGGAAGCCGGTGGATGACCAACAAGAAACAGCCGTAGGGCGCCGGAACCGTCCCGCGCTGGCGCCGGTTCACGCGACAAACGTGCCGCGCCCCTGTTTATCGGCTGGGGATCTTCGGAAGAGAGGCTCGCGCTGCTCCCGGGAGACACGGCCTGCCGCTGGCCGATGCCAGTCCGCAGATGAAAACACAGAGCGTTCTGCGAATGCGAGGCGCATCGCGTGCCGCCTGCAGAGGAAATACATTGGACCGTGCTGTCAATGGCCAGATGCTACCATGGCAAGATGTAATGCTGTGATGGTGGGCTTAAGGTGCAATCTGTTCTCCAGCGCTATCAATTTTGCGGTAAAAATAAGGAAAAAACTGTGTACGCTTTTCATTAAACAACGTGCCGAATATCCACCTATGTGCCTTGTGCCAATATGCCTATGCCACCTATGTGCTCATCCCTTGAGAAAATGTTCCCAAATCAAACACGTGGAGACGTTTCACGTAGGGACCCTTAATCATATATCTGTTCCTCATCAAAGCTGGATTAGGTCTGCACCAAAGGTTTTGTCGGTACCAAACTTTCGCACGCAAAACATATAGTCTGCAAGCTTGGCTTTCCGTAAAGGACTCAGCCGCTTCGTGTTGGTTGTGATGCAACAATGACCTCGACAGCCACAAAGCCTCTGGAGCCAAGTCTCTCTCAGAATCGCTTATTGTTCCAGCTTTGTTTTTGTTATGAATGAATTCCTACCTTTTGACAGCTGCTATTCACTTGAGGTGAACAATCTTATCCATGTTAAGTCCGTATGCGTTTGCGTGCGTGGGTGCGTGCGTGCGTGTGTCGTGGGTATATGTGTGTGTGTATGTGTTTCTGTGCGCGCGCGTGTGTGTGTGTGTGTGTGTGTGTGTGTGTGTGTGTGTGTGTGTGTGTGTGTGTGTGTGTGTGTGTGTGTGTGTGTGCGTGTGTGTGTGTGTGTGTGTGTGTGTGTGTGTGTGTGTGTGTGTGTATGTTTCAATGCAGTGCGACGACCGTTTCTGTGGAAGATATAGCCTTCCCAGGATCATGAGGTAAGAGGCAGGGATGAGATGCCTTTTTGAAAAAGCATCAAGCTCCCGCTGACCATTTATTCTATCACAACACGATCAGAGCAGGGTTGATGAATACTGCCGCCGCCAGGTACATGCTTTTAGGATCAAAGTTTCTAAAGGCTCGACCACGGATCCCATGGCTGAGAGATGACACGTTTTTAAATGGCAGTGCTACACACTTTGTTATGAGGGCTGGACATCATTTAAAAGTTGTGTTCATGCAATGGCAAACGAGGCTATTGTGATCTGTAGCGACAACTTTGGCTTAAAAAGCTGTAACGGTGTACTTATTTCTCTTAGTATGTTCATATATTTTAATAGCGCGGGTGATGCGTGATGACGTTATCATAGCCAGATATCCCGATCTATTGTCTCTACAGCCTTGTTCTGGTGTATCAGAGCTGTATGAGATCTGCATTGACATTGTTGCACACAGTGAGGGCGATGGAACGGCTGCAAAGTAAAGAAGCTGCATCGTTTCAAAAAGCCATTCTGCGATTTTTAAAATCCCCCATGGTGTTCCAGTCCAGCAAAACGTGCCTGAGGGCCCGGTCTTTTTCGGCAGTTTTGCATATGAGACTCATCGTCTTTTCATGAACACTGCTGTGATGTGATGTGTTCTGTACTCACCTTTACAGCCCTGTCAATGAAGATCAGTTCATCACACCTTGCTATAACATGCTACTGCTACGATCCTCAGAGCATGCTGTATAAACATGAGAAAATGGAACGAAGATGGGTGGATATCTTTAACGCATACAGAATAACCATACAACAGAATGTCTATTCCGAGCCAATCACCCATGTTTGCCGGGGAACACAAGTTACCCATTCCTGCATGAAAGCATGCTTTCCGACGAGGCAGCTCCCGGCATCGTGACAGAAACGTATGTCATTAAGTCAGCCAACTAGTGAATCGGTGACCCACGCAAAAAGGATCCGCTGCAAAGCTTTCTGTGCGGCTGACTTAAGCGCAAAACCAAACCGCACTGGGCGAAAAAAAAGCAAACTACGAGGAAGGCGAGAGGGGGGCATCCCTCACACATGTTAAGCTTTACGGCTGCATGGAAAACAGGCCTAGCAATTAGGCCTGGCACGTGCTCTTTATCGCATTCTTGGGAGCACAGAGGTAAGTTTGACTTCGAGACTTTGAGACAGATAGTGCTAAGACTGCCTCACGCTGGCCGTTCTTCGGTGCGTGGCGTGGCGCTGCGATTCGAGACGGAGCCAAACGCAACAAGAGCACACCGCTGCAAACGGAGTGACTCTGCAAAGCCCCACTAAGCAGGCTACGTGTGGTACTGGACGAGGCGCTGCTCCATGACGGAAGACACCCTTAATTTCTGTCAACTATTTCTCCTCCTCGCCCGAAAATACTGAGGAAACCACCATTATCTCCCATCTTCACTCGCAAAAGGTTGAAGCAGGTGGTTTGTTGTATCAAAGTGCGCGTGATTCTAATTGCTTGACTTCCTTTCAGTTCCGTGCTATTTTGCATCTCACCGCAACGTAAGGCAGCCAAAAATGGCCAGCATGAGACGACCTTTATAATAGTTTGTTTCACCCCCTGACAACGCTTTCCTCCCAGTCATGAAGTAAATCCTCTCTCATAGGTTACTAACGTTTTGCCCTTCTAGCGTGTGAGAGATGCCTCTTTTTGCCATCGGCCGGAGGTTTAACAAATCCTACCTTAGATGCTTATACAGAACCCCTGACCTAACGGCCTTAAATGCTTTTGTCAAACAAATTCCGCTCAAATCTATTTAATGTCCCATGCACTGCAGAAATATGTTAGACCCGACAGTGCAGCATGAGGACTGCAGAAACGGACACGTGAAAACGCCATCCTCCTTTCAGCGCGGCAACGTTTAAGGTCTTTCACATCAAAACCGCATGTGAACCTCCGAACTGCGTGATGGCAAACAATTCACAGTGGCTCTCATCCTCACGTCAGAAACGCCTCGGCTAATTGCGCGTGTGCGTCTCGAAGCGCCGCCGTGTTGCAGCGCAGCCGGAGTCGTCTCCGACGCTGCCCGTAACGTCATACTAAAGCGTCGATAGCGGCCCCACAAAACACTCCCACGGTCGGCTTCAGGGCGAGGTGATGGCCACTGCGCGGGGCGTCACCCGGTCGGCTGCGACAGCGCACTCGCCACGCCACTGACATTCACAGCCGTCCGCGTCGATACAGGGTCGGTGGTGATAGCAGCTGTCGCGGCACCATGTGACAACCGCGGGCGGGCATCACCACACGAGGCGCCACCTTTCAGGCGCGTCGCTCACGACAGTGCCCTCGGTCCATCCATCGCATCATGTTTTCAAGTTCTTTATCGTATGGAACCTCGTGCTATCTCCCCCCCCCCCCCCCCTACCAAATGATCCCGCAGTTTCGCGCGCGGGGAGGGGGGGGGGGGGGGCATAAAGTCTGCCAGAGCTGTCACTATCCGCCAGCCGTGTCGCCGGTGTTCCCCGAATCGCTCGAGTCTCGCAGAACTGGCCGCATTAGGG